GATGTGGGACTCGATCCCGGGACTCCAGGATCATGACCCGAGCCGAAGGCAGTCGCTTAACCAACTGAGCCACCCAGGTGCCCTTTTTAATTTTTTTTATTTTTATTTTTTTTATTTATTTGTCCCACTCTCTTAAAAAAAAAAAAAAGAAAATCCGTAGCCAGTCTTTAATATCAAGGAATTGGGTATGGTGTGATGTTTAAATAATATTTAGATCTTGCATGTATAAATTTTTATGATTTAAAGTAAATTCTGTTTTTATTATTACTTGGCTAATTTTTTTACAAGACCAATCTTTATATTCATCAGACACCAATAGGTCTTTTAAAAAGATCACTCTTGACCTCAGTGTCTAGAGTTTAAGTTAAATGATCATTCATGATACTCACTTTATCATAAATGAATACAATATGTCCCCAAACATCTGACAAAAACTTCAGATGTCAGAACAGGGAAAACATGCCACCTGGCTTAGGAGCAAACTTACGGGAGAATAAGGTAAGCTATAAGAAAGCAGAGGTAAGCTATAAGAAAGCAAACAGACACTGCCCTTAATGTACACTTACTAACTTACTAAGCCAGATCTACATTACAGAACATTTTGGAGGCTTACAGGAGATTGGAAGATATCTTAGTGCAAGAATGTCTGCAATGCCTTCATTGTTGTAGGATGTCTAGAGAAAAATTGCAAAACAATTTCTTGGACATTTCAGATACTTTTTCTTGGAATTAGAAAATGACTGTCTTATTCCTAGAAGCTACAGTACATTGATCACGTATCACTTGTTCAGTTTTTCTCCTCCTCCTTATAGAATGTCTAAAAAAATGCTTTTGGTTTTCTTTCACATGTTAGGTCATTTTACTTATCAGACTTACCTTGTATGTCCAACAGAAGGGAGGAACTTTCTCTTCAAGGAAAAATTCAACTAACTCCAAACACAAAGAGGAAACAATTACTCTTTTACTTGCTATTTGATACGCTTGCTCTTACCACTCTTATTTTCTGTGGGAATGTCCAAAGAATGCGTTTCCTTGAATAGAAGTCACAGCTGTGTAAATAGCAAAAAGTAACTTTTTATCCCATAGCTTCTTTCAAGCGCATTTGGCCAGGAGGCCAAAACTAGATAAAGCTCCGAACGTTTTCCACTTGCCGGGGAGGCTAGTGGAAGAGCATTGCGATGGCTGTCTCATCTTTTCTAGGCTACGGTCATGAGCACAACACGATTTTTTGATATCACAGCCTGTTGTTTGGGTCTGTGTTTTCAAATATTTGGGTGCTTTCATTTGGGTGATAGCTACAGTTCAGAAACTGGGCAATAACATTTCAACCATATATCCTTTCTGTTATCTTTTTGTAATAGGATTTTTAAACTCCAGTTTTCACCTTCATGCAGAAGATAAAATGTTTCCAAATCAAAAATAAGGGGAAATACGTTACACACCCTAGTCATCTAGACCAGGAGTTGGCAAACTTCTTCTTAAAGGGCCAGATTGTAAATATTTTCGGCTTTGAGGGCTGGGAAGCAAAAAGCAAGGATATTGTACAGGTACCTACAGCCATTTAAAATGTGTCCGATTAGAAATGTAAAACCATTCCTAGCCCCTGGGCCATCCAAACACAGGCAGCAGGCTGGAGTTGGCCAGTAGGCCATATGCTTGCCAGCCCTTCTGCAGAGACGGTCGTACCACCACTAACTAAGAGAAACCCTGCTCTCTTCTCTTTCTTCCAGCCCCATGCCTGGAGGTTACGGGGTGATGGCTGACGATGGCTCTATGGATTATAGTGTTCATGAGGCCTGGAACGAAGCCACCAATGTTTACCTGGTAGTAATCCTTGTTAGCTTTGTTCTCTTCATGTATGCCAAGAGGTAAAGTTTTTTTTTGTTGGTTTTTTTTTTATTTTTTATTCTTATGTTAATCCCCATACATTACATCATTAGTTTTAGATGAAGTATTCCATGATTCATTGTTTGTGCATAACACCCAGTGCTCCATGCAGAATGTGCCCTCCTCAATACCC